TAACTATTATTTGAATACAAACTTCAAATCCATATAACAACTAATCATACAAACTTTTAAAAATATTAACCATAGTTAACAAAAAAAGGCCAGTCAAATATCAATATATTTTTGAATTTATTGAATAATTTGTACAATTTTTGTACATAACAACAATTTAAAACTCAATTAAAGTAAAAAACGATAAAAGTACTATAACTTGACGAAACTAATATAAATCTACATTACTAAACTGAATTTTCAGATAAGATTTTTTTCTTTTTTGCTACATATAGAAGTACATTAATTTAATAATAAAATCCCTACAGATGAAAAGTCAAAATAATTAGGATTATAGACCATTTTTATAAAGGGTTAATTGCTAAATAAACTTTAACCTTTTTGCGTTTGGCAATTTTATCCCAATCTTTGGGTAATTGCAATATAATCTCGACCTCAATTTACTTGTTGCAAATTTGGTTGCAGAGTGATTGATTTTAGGGATTTGTGGATTGATTTTGTGTCCAAGTCGTCCATGGACACGGGTTTTTATGTCATTCACGTAGCAAGTTGACAATTTCCACGTATTTAATGTATATACACGCACAAAGCCGAAAATTCCACGTCAATGTAAGCTACCGGTGATGAGTCTCTTCCTAGATCTGGAGTGAATCGGTAAATATGAGCTCCGATCTGTTCGAACCGCCTTCAAATCGATCAATTTTTTGAAGTTCCAATCGGTATTAAGTTTGACTTGCAATAAGTAAATTGATGTCGAGATTATATTACAATTACCTAAAGGGATATAATTGTCAAACGCAAAAAGATTAAGGTTTATTTAGCAATTAACCTTTTTATAAATTATTTACTAAGACAAAATTGAAATCTATATATTACTTCTAAATAATTGTCTTGAAACTCGATTTTGTTGTACTATTTTAGATGGTTAAAATTAAGAATAAAAGTCCAAATTCTAAATTAATTTTCAACCAAAAAAAAAAAGAAAAGAAACATATAGCAACATTGAACGGTTACATCAAAATAAATATTTCTTATTATTTATCAAAATAAAAAAATGCATAATTATTTAATTTTTCAAACATAAGGTTACAATTTTTATGAATATTATATAATATTTATACAAATTTAATGATGTAAACACAAATCAAAAGAAAATAAAACTAACCAAAAGAAGCTGAAAATTTAGGTGGAGAAAATTATATATGTGGAATAATCCATATAATCTAATGTCTCTTTAAAATTTCAAAATTTTATAAGCTGAAAATCGCATTTACTTGTCAATTTTGGTGGATTTTTCTTAAGAAAATAAGCATCAAATTCAGGAGAGATAGAATCAAGGTCGGCCCAAACCAGTGGAAGGACCCATCAATTTTCGATATTTCAAAGAGGAAATTGCACTCCCTACTTTTGTTTCTTTAATATATTATAAATTTACAACCAATAGTTAAATATTTATGTAATTACCTAACTAAGCATAAAATATTGCTAATATACC